CGATGCGTTACAATTTTTCTCACGCATCGCAATACAGAGTAGCCCCCCAGAACATTCATATGTTGACTTATAATGAACCTATACATAATAAATTTCTTATCTGAATCACTTTTATTCTACTTACGTATAACAAGTAGTTAGATTGAAAATTATTCTGGATCTTCAAAATAAGGAAAAACCAAAAACGTGGGCTATTTATTGCAAAAGTTTTTTACCCACGGAACTTGAATGCCTAATAAAAGCCACTATGGCTACTGCATATGGAGGATATATCAAAATATGGTAATATATTTACCAATTATTTTATTGCGATCAAGAATATGCTCTGCTTTAGAACCTGCAAGAATCTCCTATTCTTCGAAAGTTATGTCATTTATGAATTCCAAAAGTGCTACCACTTTTTGAGTACGAGTAACGAAACGTCAAATTTAATATTGAATCCAGCTTTCATGGAAGGTATAAAATTGGAATGAATTTGCAATGTTCCAGTTTATAGAAATACTAATTTCCACAGTGGTAGATCCGACCTAAGGAACACGGAAATAATTTCTTTACAATGGCATCCTTGGTCGTGTGGAATTGAAGTTGTATTAGAAAAAATCAATTTTTTTTAAATTTAGACCAAAGGTCAATTAGACACTACTGATTATGTATACGAAACATATTGTTGCATTTCTTGCATGAGGGCAAAATTATTGTACCGATTCAGCCAATCATTATTTGTTAATGCTTTAACACGTTCTTGCGGTGAGAAAATTTAATTTTCCGCAACATTCATATTTTTTTTCATTTTTGGAACTGAAAATTAGTAGGTTTATGTTTGGCTTCTTATTTATGACAAAGTATATTTGATCAATATAATTATGGACCCTTTAGTAATCTAAAACATAGTTCAGTTAACTTTTTCCAGACTTACCCAGTTTCATTGATTATAGCTATCAGTTGCTTGGAGAAACCACAACGGGGAGCATTACGATCACCCTTCATGAAAATCATCAATGGGGCTTTATTAATCAGGGCCTTCAACCGTTCCTCCAGAGGCTGATCACTTGTAGCGGATGCACCCAATTGTTTACATTTTGCACTAAGCGATGGTATATCTACGCCATCAACACGATCTACTGCGGTACCTTTGGTGAAAAATATTACAGTGGGTACTGCCTCAATCTACATAATTACAAAAAAATCACACATATTAATATTTTATAGCTTCTTTACCATATTACACATTCACATACCTGATGTTTCATCGCTACTTCAGGATATTCTTCAGCGGTAATTGTTATAAATTGTAATTTATCTCCCAATAGTTTGCTCAAATCTTCCAGTACATCCAAAACCTGTTTGCATTGTTCGGCCCATTCTGCCGAAAATAATACCACTGATGTCTTGTCGGCACTGTGGAGTATTTTGTTTTTTTTTTTCAAACCATTCAAAAGATAAAATTGCCATTAATGATTATTTCATCATTTCCGATTGCCAAATAAACATACCCAATCAGTTGTTTGTACTCTTCTTCAGATTTAATTACAGTTACCGGCATATTGAGTTTTATAGTTTTTTTATATTTGCAGAGTTTTTAATTTTTATATATATAATTTATTGTTTTGCAAATGAGTGTGTGGATGGTTCGTGATATTTCTTTGGATGGGTCAAATGCAAATGTCAAAACATTTTAGGTTAGAATATTACAGGGTTGCCAATGCACATTATTATTGGGTTGATTTTGATATTAAAAATTATGGGGAAATGTCTATCTGGTCTGGTCCAGGACATGGTATAATAATAGAAGGTAACAGCAAGTGTTGTTGTACAAAAAACGATACAACAACCACATGTAAATTTGTTGTTGTAAGTTCTACTAGTGTCAACTCATTTGACAGAAAAATGGAAACAAACAAACAAATTATCATCAAATTATTTTTATTTTGAAAATGAAATATTTTCGAATCCTCAAAATAAAAATTGAAAAACATGAATGAAAATGTATCAAATTTATATTTCTATCGCTTCAACATCTTTCCTATAATTGAGCCATTGCCATATATATGTGTAACACATATGAAAATGCTGGGAATAGCGAGTTATTCCTTGAAGAAAGATTTGCTTCCTCAAACTTTCCCAGCAGGCAGATTGAGTAAATTGAATACAAGAGCACATTTAATAAAGAACAATTTCAAATTGTATGCGTTCATAATTTTCCTGTTGGGTGATTTTTAAAAACATAATTTGTCAAATTCATATTGACACTAGTATTACGTTGGAATCAAATCAGCTGGGATTTGCTGTTACCTTTTATAATTGTACCATGGGTCCAGGACTGAAAAAATGTACAAATAATTATAATTATTACAAGGTAGGGCACAGCTACCATATGATTAATTTTTTTCCCAAAATACACAGTTTATGTATGTGTGTTTGTTGCTTTGAATACCACATCAAATAAATTTATGTATTCAAATTTAATTGAAATAATAATTATTTTTGTGGATTTCGTGCAGAAATAATAACTTTGTTATGCATTTCATGGTATTCCCTAGTGGATTTTGGAAAATTCATAAATTCAATTTCATTAATTTTTGTTTTGTGTTGAAAATATGTCAAACACCACTTGTTGCGTATGTATTTTTATTCACCTCAAGCTGCTCTTCCTTGTATTATTGTAAGCTCTTATTTAATCCTAGATATCTTCCGTGTTGAACTGGACAGATAGACTGGGTCAACCATATACTAAGAAATATATATATGTGTAAGCTGCCACATATCAGGAGAAAAGTAGGGATATGAGACACCGTAAGAAGGAATTCTATCATCACTCCTGAAGGATGCTAAAACCCGACTATTGAGGAACTTAACCGAGGAGTGTTTGGAACTAGTCTGTTATGCAGACGACATTATAATACATCCTATGATGCGGCCTACAGGGAGCAGAGCTGAATGCTATCGGTCGCGTCCACAGATTGCGGATTATGGAATGTCCATTAACATTCATTGAGTAGTTGTGAATCATATAAGCAGTCACGAACAATCAGCTCATCGGTGGGCGCCTTAACAAAATGTTCAGCTTTACTTGTCAAGTAAAATCTTGCATAAACAACTTCTATGAAGCCATTTTTCTGTTCCATATCCATTATAGGCAATAAAACTTCGAAATTTCCAAGTCCAAACGCCGTAGAAGAGGATACTGGTACTGATGACCTCATCTGGAGAACGGTCTATTTTTGCGAGAAAGATAGGGGAAATTAAGGAGAACCTCAAAATTCATTCAGAAGTTCTAATGGCAATGCGATGTACTTCTTAATAATAGACGACCTCAGTTACCCCTTGAATGGAGGAAAAGTCTGTAAAGGGGAGACCCCATAAAGGGCTACTGAAGTCCTGCGAGTGGCAATCATTGATCGAACTGACCATGATGATCAATAGAGTAACTTCTGGTATTGTGGACCATGCGTCAAATGTGGACCACCCCCCATATCTAAGAAAATGCTTGAAATATGCCAATGCCGCCTTGATAAATGTTTTCCTAATTAGTGAAAACAAACATCAAACTTGGTTTTTAATAAATAATTGCAATGTTGAAAATTTAGTAGGTGAAAATGTAGCTCTGATCTTAAAATTGTGACTTGAAAATTTTTTAGCACAATAGTCGAACGATTTTGTAAAATAGTCGAACATTTTGTTTTTCTCGAATATAAAGAGGTTATGTGGTTTTCTTGTTTTCTTTAACAAAAATACACGTTTATCTGTAATTACTTTCGGTTATTTTTACATTTTTATTCATTTTTGAAGCCGATAATTATTTTTAAATAAAAATATTCAATGTCGGGTAATGTGGACCACTATAAAAAAGTGGGACATTTTCATGAGGACGAGTTCGAAACAAGGACGCATTTAATATGCGAGGAGGTATTCTATCCTCTGAAAACTCGATATCTGAAATTATAGGTGCCTCGGTTGGATAATGAAGCAAGGACCTTTAAAATACCGCAAATGGGGTGGTACCCTTAAATGGGGGCTATTCCAAAACATAAACCCATTTATTTTTGCATTTATTGTTACCCAGGAGTGCAATAAATTGAAATTTATCACAACCAATCCACAACCTACCTTTAACTTACTGATCCTCATTACCCACACATACTGGTCCACATTACCCGCCAAGTTATTTTTATTCGCAGTTTAGAGCTTTTTGAAATATAATGCAATAACATTTTTATGGACAAATATATATAATTTTTGACCTGGAATATAATAAGCCAACAAATCTACCATGCTGTGAAAACAATTTGTTTTTATTTTTTACCGTTGTTACGCCCACAATATCAAAAAAAGAAAATGGTGGTCCACATTACCCGAAGTTACTCTATTTGCCCACGCTTGGTACAGCCTCCATATAACGGTACCCCACTTGTCAGTATTTTCAATGTTGCAGACCTATTAGTCGGTATATAAGGTCATTTCCTAATTTTAATATCTGCAGGTTGGCATTTACATTTTCTACAAGCGATCCTAAAGATATGTTCCGAACATTCCAGGCCTATATCTCGGGAAGTATGCATTTCCCCACATAAAATATATAACACTGTAATCACTGTTAAAGCGATCCGAGTGGAGCCCATAAACTTGATTTAAGCCCAAAATTGAAAGCACGACTTGTTATTGTGCCATGGAACTGTATTTTTCTTTCGTTGCCAAACAATTTCCTTCCATTTTACAGCACTACTTTATTTGACCCATCATACAGAATTTCCCAATTCCCCGAATTTCCAAATTCCCCGAATTTCCCACTTTTCTTCTCTCAGTGAAGAAATTTTTCCTGACTTGTGTTTATTGCCATACGTATTCATTTAAGAAATAACCAACCACATCATATGTCCACTCATCTTGTCAAAGAACATGACAACAACATTAAGCCGTTCACCAACTCAATGTCAACTTTGTACTCTGCGTAAAGTGTTAATAAATTCATTCATTAATATATTTTTGTTAATTCCACAATAAAAAGTATGTCCAAGCCTTCTATTTTGATAATAGAACCATTTTATGGTGGTAGCCATAAACAGTTAATAGATACATTAATTGAATGTAAGTTATGTGTGGTCTACCCCGCAGTAAAAACAAACTGTGTATCCCATAAAAAAGCGAATTATCCACAAGATTTTTTCCGGTTAGAAAAAATTACAGATGTTATTTGTTTTGTTTACGATGTGGATATTAATTGGATTTATAAATATGATCAATGTTCACGTGGATTTTTATTGAAAAATGCTGCTGAGGTGGCCAAAATATTTTGATTGCCTCAAATGTGGGCTCACGCCGGTGAAATGTGGTCCATAAGGGAGTGTTGGAATGCAATATACAAATCTATCCCACTTGTCATGTGGTTACAGAATTAGAGAAATGATTTGACCCTACCTAGGTAGTTGTGCTGCGTCGCAAGAGCAAGCAGAGATTAGGGGGTCATTTCGGGGTTTTGATATGTTTGTATTGTCCCTCTGATAACTAAAATATATGACATTTTGTGGGAAAGTGCATGCATCCCGAAATATGGTCCGATGAAGGAAAATGTAAAGTGTGCCAATAAATTAATTTAAAAAAATCGGACTTTGGTCGACTATATAGGACGTCCTTCTTGGAAAATTCAAATACGCGATTAAAATATCCTGTTAAATTTATTTTTTTAATATCCGGCCTTTGGAAGGAGACTTTGGGAAACGAGATAAAAATTACAATGTTATAAACATATGGATTTCCGATCTTCAACGCACATATCCGAGACGAGAAAAATCCGAGATGAGTCCCTAAAATCAACATTAGATGGAAACTAGGCACTGAGAACGCAAAAAAAGATTTTAGGAAAGCACGAGGACGACTGATCTTATTGTTCTTATTAGTTAGAATTTCGACTGCTATATTTTTTAGTGTCTGGCATCAATTTTCATGAAATATTTATTATTTTTAATTTACATATATTTCTTTTCATTTAAGGTTTAAATGTAACGGACTATGAAATCTTTAGTCTTCCGGCAAAGAAATGGCATTGGCGTGCACGCACTGGGGCATTATATTTTTCACAAGTGATACCACAAAATCATGAGTACAAAATTTTGTTCTCTTCGTCGGTACTGAATTTAGCGGAGCTATTGGGATGTCGCCCCGATTTAAATGTTTGCAAGAAAATTGTCTACTTCCATGAAAATCAATTGGTATATCCTGTTCGAGAAGTGAAGGAAAGAGATTGTCAATATGGTCTCAATCAAATTATGACATGGTAGGTAGACCTAATAATTTTTGAAATTATTTATATTTTCTAATTTTCCCATCTTCTTTCTAGCCTTGCCGCCGATAATGTAATATTCAATTCCAATTTTAATCGCACATCATTTTTGGATAATATCCAGCCATTTCTTAATATCCAACCCGATTTGAAGTTGAAACATCTGCGTGAAAAAATCGAAAAGAAATGTGAAGTAATATATTTTCCCATAAAATTCCATGCATTTCCGAATAAACGCCTAATTGTGGGTGGAGATGTACAAATGAATACTCTGACGACAGAAAATGCCAATGATTGTTTGCATTTAATATGGCCACATCGTTGGGAACATGATAAAAATCCCAAACTGCTAGTTGAGGTTTTGCTGGAATTAAATAAACGGCAGGTGGATTTTAAAGTTACAATATGTGGTGAAACATATCACACTTCACCGGAGGCATTTGAAGGTTTGCAGGATAAGCTGGGATCGAAATTAATCAATTTTGGTTTCTTGTCACGTGATAAATATGTTAAGACACTGCTGGATGGTGATGTGGTTATATCGACGGCGGGTCATGAATTTTATGGGGTGGCCATGTGAGTTTGAAAAATAATGAATTTCTATTATTTTCAATATTTTAACAATTTATCTGATTGCAGGCTTGAGGCCACATACTGCGGTTGTATGCCCATTGCCCCCAATAAACTGGTCTATCCTGAACTATATCCCAAAGAAAATCTCTACAATACTTCCAATCAACTTATAAAAATGCTTTACAATTGGTGCCGTAATCCAGCTTTGTTTCGTAAACAACGTGAGAAATTTTTTGAATATTTTACATTTGATCGTTATTCGGCCCAACATTTGGTTCCCAAATATTTGGAGAAATTACGTTATTAGGTGTTTTTTCCCCCTTTTTGGGAAAGAAAAGCCATAACCTGAAAATATTCAACATTGCCCAGCACAATGCCATAGTGCAATAACTCGAATTTAGAGTATAAGTCTGATATGCATGAACCCCGTAGTGTAGAAGAAAAAACTCCATCAAAAACTCTCCCTACCCAAAGATACAAAAAATTAGAAGGTGGTAAGACATATATTTTTGTGGTAAAATAAAAGAAATATTGTTTTGATACGAAATGACAACAATGAACCAAGAAACATAAAAACAAAATTAGAAAAAAAACTGACCAATTTTTTTGTAAGTGACAAAAAGTGCTGAACTCGTTAGAATGTACTAATAATTATTAGCAAATTGTAATACAAGAAGAAACAAAACAACTGTTATCAAGTTGTAAACATGTTTGTTATACCCATAAGTCTAATGTAGAGAACATAGTTGAAACTATATAAATATGTGTGTTTTATCCACATAGAGGAAATATTTGTTTGATCCCCCTTAGCCATTATTTTTCGTTTCTTTTAAGCTTCTGTGTAGCTTAATGTGAACAACTTTTTCATTTTGTATTTGTAATTCAAATATTTTTTTATAGTTTCATTTTTTACTATATTATTGTATTGCCTTAGCTCCTTTATTTTTGGACTTTAAAATTAATGTTAATTGTTAAGTTTTTTTATAACAAAAAAGAGAAAAAAATCAATAAGCATATTGATTATAATAAAATATATAATATCAAAATATGTCTATTAGAATATAAATAAAACAAATAACAAACAAAGCTGGTCCTAGAAATGATCTTCTTTAAATTTGGGCGGTGCACTATAGGGTTCCTTGGCATGTGTACGATATTCTTCATCATCGTCGTGACATTCACGGAAACAGGTGGCACAAAACAGTTCACCTTCACAGCCTAGACAACGGATTACAGCATCTTCATTGCATATATTGCACCAGGGCAATTCTTCGGTTTCAGTACCTGCTGGCGGCGGTGGAACACTAGCTGCCAATTCCGATTCTATTGTTGTCGGAGCTTCGGGTAGACGGGCTTCAGCCAAATACTAAAATAGTAAAAATGTAATTATCAGAAGAACTAAGGTTTAGAAATTTCCAACATGGCATGACTGTAATTGGCGATTTAAAAACATGACAGTCCATGTTTTAGTATAACCTACTAAACACCCTAGAAATATTTTTGGACCACAATATGTTTATTAACCGGGAAATATGAATGAAATGGACTGTATGTTAGATTATTAATTTAGATAGTCTTTGATTATATACACGTCACAATGTGGTGTTCCATATAACGCGAGGGTCGAGGTCTAAATCTGAAGAGACTGGGCCCAGAAAAAGTCTGATATAAAACTCGTTAAAATCAAACCATTTTTATCAGCATTGGAAAAACGAGGTATATTACTCTTGTATTGTGCCGTCAATTCGGAATTGAGGAGTCTGCACCACCCCCATCTTAGTTGGATCAAAACCACTCTCGTTTACTTAAAAACCTGGTTTCTACCACCAGGTATGTTCGGACAACCGGAATAAGCTTTCGAAAGTTTTCCCTGAATTTGGCATTGTTAAATTCTAAACCTGTATAAGTTTTCAGTATCGGTGCGGGTATGTTTTTCCTCATTATGGATGTTATAGAATATGATCTAGGTTATACAAAAATAGAAACCTCATAGGTTAGGGATGTACGGTTGATAGTAACAACCGTCCACTCGGAGACTATTGCCCATTGAGATCATCCTCCTAGAAAAATCATAGTTTTATCTTTCTTACCTTCTGCATAATATCCTTTAATATTGCTTCATCGTCAAGTTCATTATCACTCGGTGTGTTCGTATCCGGCGATATATCACCTACAAGTCTTGTTGGCCCACTTGCCGCCGCAGCACCATCTACTGGCGTATCACGCAATGCTCGTAATCTTCTTTCAATATCCGATATTGCATCATTTCGCTCGGCATCAATACGTCTATCCAGTTGAGCTTCACCCATGAATTGTTTTAATAAATCATTCATTTTTTCTTGGTCCGAACGTTGATCCACGCTCAATAACAAATCCTTTTTCGAATAATCCTTATAGGGTATACCATTTAAATTTGCCAATCTTGAACGTATCTCATCATCCGATGGTAGCTGTTGATTATTGCCGTTACCATTAGTTTTTAAATTTTTCAATCGTTGCAATATTGCCGAATCGAGATTTTCCGTTATATCGGAGTTTTCACCACTGGAATGTGTAGACGATGTCATTTGCGGTGTAGGTGTTATGGGAGCCAAAACTTCACCCGTTAAAGCTGCTGATGGTTCCACTTCGAGTAATTTATTAATATCGATATTTAGATTGTTTTCTTTCGCATTTCCACGATTGGTTTTTGTCACAATTGTGCCGGGTAAAGATTCAACATCGATAACCTTTTCGGCAGCTTGTAGTTTGGACAGTTTATCATAACATATCAGACAGACATTCATTACTTTGTCATTGTGTTTGGGAACAGCCACTGGTCGTTTAAGACACTTGGCACAATAGGAGTAACCACAATTCGGACAACCATACTAAATCAAATAGAAAGAACAAGTCAATTGGAGAACAAATTAATTAATTCTGCTGCAGAACTGAGTCATTGTTTACATTGATTTTCTACTACTTACTTCTTTGGTGAAAAGGCCATAGGTTTTACTGCAACCAAAGCAGGACATGTTTGAAAACAATTTCAAAAAAATCGCAATGTAAATTTTATGACCATTAGACGTTGTTTTTTATATTTAATTATTTCTTTTGTTTATCGTCGGATAGATAAGAACGTTATAAAAAACCCAAAGAAAAGAAAAACGTTCCAACTGCTAACGAATGGGCTGAGAAGACAAAATGACCGATAAAGATGAGCTCAAAATGGAATAACCGAATATTTACGAATGAGATGGGATGGAGACTAAATGAGAAACAGCTGCAGTCAGAGAACCGAGCCATACTGGAATGTTAATGTGTGACGGCGTTGTTATATGCATGTTGACAACCATGGTATAATTATAAAAGGTAACAGCAAGTGTTGTTGTACAAAAAACGATACAACAACCACATGGAAATTTTTTGTTGTAAGTTCTACTAGTGTCAACTCATTTGACAGAAAAATGTAAACAAACAAATTATCATCAAATTATTTTTATTTTGAAAATGGAATATTTTCGAATCCTCAAAATAAAAATTGGAAAACATGAATGAAAATCTATCAAATTTATATTTCTATCGCTTCCACATCTTTCCTTTAATTGAGCCATTGCCATATATATGTGTAACACATATGACAATGTTGGGAATAGCGAGTAATTCCTTCAAGAAAGATTTGCTTCCTCAAACTTTCCCAGCAGGCAGATTGAGTAAATTGAATACGGGAGCACATTAATAAAGAACAATTTCAAATTGTATGCATTCCCAATTTTCCTGTTGGGTGATTTTTAAAAACATAATTTGTCAAATTCATATTGACACTAGTATTACGTTGGAATCAAATCAGCTGGGATTTGCTGTTACCTTTTATAATTGTACCATGGTTGACAACAAAGGAATTTTTCCTAATTGGAGTATGTCGTTCGTTTTGAGTTTTAACGCCGTTTAGTTTTCTGATTGGATATCAGCTGTTGTTAGGGCTGTCGATATTAGAATGCTGTATTTTCACATATTCAGAGAAAAGTTGATCCAAATAGGGAACAGAGACTTGATGACAATCCTTCAAGTAGCTTAAAACTCAATTCTAAACGGTATTATGTTGGTCTGAATGAAAGGACAATTTATAAAGGAATATTGGATGCCGTTCTTCTTTATTCTTTTACTACAAAAAAGCTATCTTAACATACCAAACCTGAAGTCCTTTTATGTGTATCCCCCTTAAACCGTTAGCACCAATATGGCCTGAATCCTCGTATGTGTTTCCCCTTTTTCAGTGTGGAACTAGCTAAGAGCAACACATTTGAATTTGACGAATATTGTAGCGCCTTTCAAACAGAAATCTCAGCAATCACAAAGTAGGCTGATTTAGCCAAAGGGTATACGATGAAACCACTATGTAGATTAGGATTAAGGATGTTAATCCACCATTTGTCTAGCAGCTGTTTTCAAACGGAAAATTGGGGAAAAATATAAAGAAAAAGTTAAAAATTTTTATGGGATCAAATAGTCGATGTCTTCTGCTACTTAGCTATGGACATCTACGGAGTATATATTCAAGAGTCCACTCCATTAATGTCCCATTTAAATGTGAGTGATCTAATCCTAGAGTGACCTGTTATGATCCCTACATTGAATTTGATCTCCCTTTTCACGTGTAACAACAGCGAAGTAATTATACGTCGTGAAAACTCAGGACACATAGACTTTGAAGTCCTGCACCCAGCTTCCTCAGACCATCTGTTGCCGGCTTTCTCGCTGTAGTTCTTACAGATTTGGCCAATACGATCCCTCAATCAGTAAATCGGACGATTGCGAACCTCCATTGAGCAAGCTCATCATTTCATTCTCATTATTAAAAGACAATTTCATGGTCGCAGTTTTCGTGCAAATACTATTCATTACTGTTCGATAGACCTGTTGATCTAGGAATGCATCGATAACATCCTATTGTGTCGATTTACTGATAAGACTTTCGCCTCCTCATGTAAATGGAGACGAATTCTTATAAATTTAAATATTGTTCAACTGCGTATATCTTAAGACGGATATTTTCATATTCTATATAGACATGTAACCTTTCACATAAATAATTGATAAAGGGTCCAGACGCCATTGCATATTGTTAAAATGCAATTTTAACACATTTTTTATATTTTTGTATGCTGTCGTCAAAAGAATCTTGAACGACAAATTTGGCGTATTGTAATGACTTTCATAATACCGATTTGTCGTATATGTGCGATAGGGCCCAATTATCGACACGACAACGCAAACCGTAATAAGGGTGCATATATGGAAAAAGCGCCACAAAATTCTAGAGATATA